AGGACTGTAAATGAGCAAGAGCCCTGCATCGCCCGCCACTCAGCAACTCTCACTGGCTGAGGGGGCACTGAGCTCAGAAAGGGCAGATCGCCGGACCAAAATCACCCAGTAGGGTGGGAAGGCCCTGGGCTCTCAGCAGCCAACTCCATTCTTGGAACCCATAGAGAAGAAACAGTCCTCAGCGTGGGACAGGTAGTTCCACTCACTGCCATCACTGGGAAGCTCTGGGAAATTGTCTGAAGCATTTTCCCAGAATCCCCAGCTTCTCACCTGTGGCTGAACATGAAGCCGCCCACAGCACCAGTAGCAACGGCCCTTAGCCCTGCCCTCCTCTGCCCCAGACTGTGGACTGGTGCTCTCTCTCTTCACCTCCAGTGTTTTCTTTCTGTTTTTTTTTTTTTTTTTTTTTTTTTTGGGTAGAGGGTGGGGGGAGTCAGGGTTTCTCTATGTAACAGCTCTGGCTGTCCCGGAACTCACTATGTAGACCAGGCTGGCCTCGAACTCACAGAGATCCGTCTGCCTCTGTCTCCTGCGTGCTGGGATTAAAGGCGTCCACCTCCAACCAACCCCTCCAACCTCCAATGTTTTCAACTCTACGGAAATTAATTTTATTTGGCAGTTCAGGAAACTGAGGTTCAAGAGCCATTGCTTACTTGCAGCCAGCCAGAAAGCAAACAAAGTGGGTCATGAGCCCCAGGTCACTGGCCCTCCAAACACCCTGACTCCCTTCTCTGGCTGATAGGGTAGTGGGCAGTGCCCTCAGTGCCCAGGGCAGGAGGTGGCTGAGTGTGTGCCTTCCTCTTGTTTCTGTTGATAAATGTAACCCCTACCTCCCACTCACCCTCATTTTCTGAGTGTTGGGCTGAGGAGAAATGCCAGTCACAGAGCCCATTACCCTGATAGAAGACCAGGTCTTCTAGAGACTGTCATCTTTCTAGCTACCTAGCTGGTCTAGGAGGAGTATGTGGCCCCGAAGGAACACACTGAGCAGTCTCCCTGGGCTGCCCTAGTGAATCTGGGAGGAGCTTCCAGCTCAGTGCTTCCTCCATGTGAAGAGAAGAAGGCAGGAGGAAGAGAAGAACCAGATGGGAAGGGAGATCACTGGAGGCCCTGAGCATCCCATGGGTCTCAATGGCCACCAAGCCCATATTTCCTTGGGTTCACCCAATGTGGGTCTCTGTCCTCTGGCAATGAGTCCTGCCTGAAGCTCTATGTGTGCCTGAGGCTATGCTATCCCTACAGGAGCCACAGAACTACCAAAGGATCCAATCCTCTAGGAACTGGAGGTCTGGGGTGGAGAGGGATGTGGGCAGTTGTGGGTTCAGGTCCCTGCTCTCTCTCTCTCTCTCTCTCTCTCTCTCTCTCTCTCTCTCTCTCTCTCTCTCTCTCTCTGGGCTGCAATCTCCTATCTTTAACTTGAGGGTACTAGGCTTAATGTGCTAAAGATTTCCCCAGATCTGTACAACTACTGTTAAAAATTGACGCATAATCCGCTCATAACCACTTCAAATTCTAGAACACTTCCATCCACAACCCTCTGAAACACCCCACACCTGCTAGTAGTGACTCCCTAATACTACTCACCATCCCAAACTCTAAAAACCATTATTTCCTTCCAAACAAGAACTTTATGGATTTTTCTCTTCTGGACATTTCAAGCTCATGTTGGAATTTTCCTGTGTTGCAGCACGTATGGCCATTCCATTTCTTCTTGTGATGGATGTCACTCCACCGCTTGGATATGCTGCCTTCTGTTTATCCATTCAACAGCTGAGTGGGCACCTGGGCTGTTTCCCCTTTGGGGCCATTATAGATAATGTCGCTACGGACATTTGTGTGCAAACATTTGTATGAGATGTATGTTTTCAATTCTTTGGTGTGTATGCCTAGGAGTGGAATTGCTGGATGATATGGTAACTCTGCATGACTTTGGGAGAGCGGCCAAACAGTCTTCCACCGTTTTTCACGTTTCTATCAGCAACGGAACAGGGATCCAGTTTCTCAACAGCCTTGACAAAGCTTGCTGTTTCCTGTCGCTCTTATTATAGCCATCTTAGTGTAAAGAGGAATCTCATTCTTTTTTAAATTTTATTTTGAGACAGGGTCGTCTGTAGCCCAAGCTAGCCTCAAACTCAACATAGAGCCAAGGATGACCTTGGATTTCTGATCCTCCTCCTTCCACTTCCCAGGTGCTGAGATTATAGGCATGGTTATATGCTATCCTGGGGATCAAACTCAGGGCTTTGCGCATGCCGGGCAGGCACTCTACCAACTGAGCCACATCCCAGCTCTGCACTGTGGTTCTGATTTGCATTTCCCCAATGACTAATGCAAAGGAGCCTTCTTAATCTATGTGATTAGTGGCCTTTTCTATATCTTTTTTGGAGAAATGTTTATTCAATTTTTCTTTTCTTTTTTCTTTCTTTTTTTTTTTAGACAGGGTTTCTCTATGAAACAGTTCTGGCTGTCCTGGAACTCACTCTGTAGACCAGGCTGGACTCGAACTCACAGAGATCTACCTGCCTCTGCCTCCTGAGTGCTGGGATTAAATGCATGTGCCACCACCAGCTGGCTCAAAATTTTTTTTCATTTAAAAAATTGGGTAATCAGCCAGGTGTAATGCTGCATGCTCACAATGCTAATACCTAGCAAGCGGAAGCAGGAAAATTAGAAGTTCAAGGCCATCCTCAGCTCTCTTAAGAATTAGAGGTCAGTCTGGATGACATAAAACTCCAGCTCAAAAGATTCAAAAAGTACAGGTGGTGGCGGCAGCGGCGGCGGCGGCGGCGGCGGCGGCGGCGGCGGCGGCGGCGGCGGCGGCGGCGGCGGCGCACGCCTTTAATCCCAGCACTCGGGAGGCAGAGCCAGGCGGATCTCTGTGAGTTCGAGGCTAGCCTGGTCTACAGAGCGAGATCCAGGAAAGGCGCAAAGCTACACAGAGAAACCCTGTCACGAAAAAAACCAAAAAAAAAAAAAAAAAAAAAATTCAAAAAGTGAAATGAGGATGTTAAACTCTCTAGCTGGGGTCAAGGCTGCAGGCAATGGAGAGAAGCCTGTAAGCACAGGGAGAATGATGTGGGGGTCACTGAGGGGTCTGTAGGCCACACTGTGATGCTGACAGCATGCCCCTCCTGTATTCTAGTTGGTGAAAAAAACAACTCTGGCATCTAAGACTTAGAGGATGCCTTACAAATCCCTTTGGGAGCTGCATGACAGGCCAGCGTGACAACTAGGCATGCCTCCCAGCATGGGCCAGAGTGAGTATTGGATGCTATTGGCTTCACAGCATGGTGCTTGGAGACCAGGTGTGTGTGTGTGTGTGTGTGTGTGTGTGTGTGTGTGTGTGTGTGTGTGAAGGAGGCAGAGAGAAGGTCATGGAGAGAAAGTACTCAAGAAGAGTAAGAGGGAACTTCCATTTGTAGAGCAGGATTCTGGACACATCTCAAATGTCACAGAGGAGCAAGAACTGGGAGGCTCATCCCGTTTCCTAGGACACGAAACCGAGGCAGGCAGAAGGGGGCAGTGGGAGCTGGGGTTTGAGCCCTGATGCATCTGTCTTGGGTTGTGAACCCTTCTCATAATGCTTACTTACTGGAGAGGGAGGGAGGGAGGGAGGGAGGGAGGGAGGGAGGGAGGAACACACAGAGAGGTCCAGCAGAGGGACAGAACCACACTGAGAGGAGAGGGAAAAATAAAACACAGGGTGGAAAGAACCACGTGGTCTGGCCGAGGCCTGCACTGGGTCCCGGGGCATCAGGCCAGGGAGGGGACAGCAGAAATCAGCTCACTGAACCTGGAGCCAAGAAGCAGTCTTGGCTTCTGCATGGTGGAAAAGCTCTCACCTCAGGACACTGCAGAGGGGAAGCTGGCAGGGGCTGGGGGGGTCTGCCTGGGCAGAGGGTGAGGAGCAGACCCATCATCCAGCTTAGTAATGGCTGTGGCTGCTCCCCCTAGCAGCCCTTGACTCCTCAGCATATAGAGCCCAGGCCTAGCGCAGGTTCAGAGGGAGCCGGACAGGGCCATCTTTGCTCGCTGGCTGCTTTGAGGACAAGCTCCCCAGCTTGCAAATAAGGTGGCTCTATTGTTTCTCACTCAGCTGGGACATGAGCGTGAGAGAACAAACACCATGCACAGAAGTGGCCATGCATGGTCCCCAAGGTCCTGACGGCCAGGCGGCCAGGCCTGGCTAGTTTTCTGAAACCTTCTCCAGGGCCCCTGCCCTCCATCCACACTGGCCTTCCTTCAGACACGTGGAGACTTATTTTCTGGAATACCCTTTCCTGTGCCATACCCCTTTGTCGTTCCTACATACCAACTACATCGGCTGAGGAAAGACGGATGCTGTTCTTAAGGCAGTCAGAACACCACACGTGCTTTCTCCTCACAGCGGGGATGCTAATCACAATACCAAACACACTCCACTGAGAAATCAACCGTTTCACAGTCTAAGGCTGGGAGGGACTTGTCACTCTCCTGTACAGGTCACCCAGACCAAAGGTTTTGGTACAAAAACTACTACATCACCTCCCTGGGTCCCTGGACCCACAGTGGTGTGCCAGCCAGCCCTGTGTTCTTTGTGTTTGTTTGTTTGTTTGTTTGTTTGTTTTTTATATACAGAGAAGGAAGGAGAGGAGGCTGAAATTGTCTCTAAGTGCAATGCAGACTTTTGATCACTTCCACAGACTCTGAGACTTTTCGGAAGGGCTCAAGACCCTATCTTCCTGTTTCTGGCTCCCACTTGGGCTTGTATCAGGACCCAGGTTGTGCTGAATGGTTAGCTATAACACCAGGAATAGCTGTAGTGAATCACCGGAGCCAGAGGAATGAGTCACTAGAAATCAGAACTAGAGGAGCACTGGGAATCAGGAGCCTCTTTCCTGCAAAGGCTGAATACAGCCCAAGGCTGCCGTAGGCATCCCAAATATCAGCCTCCTCCTCCTCTGCCATCTTTTCCAATCAGCCACATTACAAAAAAAAAAAAAAAAAAAAAAAAATGGAGGGAGAGGAGGCTGGGATGTGGCTCACTTAATGGAATGCTTACCTAGTACACATTAAGCCCTGGGTTCAATCCCCAGCACTGCATACCCAAAATTCCAGCACTTAAGAGGTAAAGGCAAGGAGATCAGAAGTTCAAGGTCATCCTCAGTTCTATAGCCGGTTGGAGACCAGCTTGGGATACATGACACCCTGTCTCCAAAAAGAGAAAAAAAATCTTGTTAAGTGTACAGTTCACTTAAGTATATTCAAAGTTGTATAATCATCCCTTCTATGATCTTCAAGAGCAGGAAACTGAGGCCCAGAGAAGGGCAGGTCCTTTCTCTATGTCACATGACTGGTTGGTTAGTCAGCAACAGAGTTAGGGTCCAGGCCTCTGACACCCCATCTACCACATTCAGGTGACACAGGGGCCTCTGTGACAGGCCCTCCCTGCCACACTCTGGCCATGAGAAGTGTCTAGTGGAGGCTGCTGAGTGGAGTCAACGAGATGGATGTGACAGTGCCCTCAGACTGTCCCCTGACTGTCCTTCTGGCTGTCCCCTTAACTGTTCCTCTGACTGTCCCCTGACTGTCCAGAGCTGTTGAAGTCCAGAATGAGGCTGAGAGTCCAAGCTTTAGAGTGCCGTGTCCAGCTCACCTCCTGCTTCCACAATCACCAGTGACCTTCCTTAGTTTGGGGTGCCCTTCCTCCACATGACCACAGGGGTCCTCTTCCGAGTCCCTCAAACCCCTCCCCTTGGTGAGGCTGCCTGACTGCCCTGTGTGGAATCGGAACCAGGCCCTGGCCCACCCTCTGGCACTCGGCCCCTCCTCCAGAACACACTCTGTCTGATGTACTGGAATACAATGTGGCCTGCAGAGGTGCTCCTCAGAGGACTGACTCCCAGTGTAATGGCACTGACAGGGGAACCCCACGAGAAGGTGAGTCACCACCTTCATGAATGGATTCATGTTTTTCTTAATAAATGAGACTAGTTCTCACAAGAGGGAGTTAGGTCTCTCCACCTGGATGATAAGTCAACCTACCCTCTGTCCCTCTCTCACATGTTTCCTTCTGCACATGCCCACTTCGTCTTTCCAGTTTTTCACCATGAATAGATAAAGCACAAAGCCCTCATCAGAAGCTGATAGATGTGGCTATTGTATCTTGGGCATTTGAGACCATGACTCAGTTAAGCTTCTTTAGTAAGTACCTTACCTCTGGTATTTTGTAATAGCAACAGTAGAAACACCTTCATTATCAGCTTATTCTCTGCCTCCTCCAATGCGCTGTAGTTCCAAGAAATGTCTTGACAATGCCTGGTAGAGAGAAGGTACTGACTGGGTAAATAGTGTTGAATGAACGAATATTTGGCTGGCATTGTGCTGTCTCAGAGCAATGCTCAAGTGAAGAACTCTTATGCTTGTTTTAGAGAGCCTGCCTGGGCCCTAAAGGCCACCATTTCCCCCGACCTTGGTATTGTTAGGGGAAACTGGAACAGAGTCAGAGTGGCTTTAAGAAAGAAGGGGATAAACTTCTGGATTTTGTCATTGTGTTTAGGACCCCAGAAACCGGAGGTAGTCTTGGATCCAGCCTGTGTGTTTTCTGTGTAAATTCCTGGAGCCATTTAGCTTACATTCCATGTCTCAGCCAAAATGGAAAGAAAAAGGAAGAAAAAAAAAGGCATCATTCATTTTTAAATGGACTTAGCTTTGTGAGCGCCACATGGGAACTGCTTGCTGTCCATAATGTCATAAGCCCCAAGGCCCTCTGGGAAATATTACCAGCACTTCATGTGGAGGGCTGGGCCAGGGTCCACACATCTCCAGAGCTGTGAGCATGTGGCAGACCGTGGCTCCATCGGCAAGCCTGGGCCCAGACCCCTGAGGCAGGAAGAAGTCAGGCAGGGCAGGCAGGAGTTCCCTCAGGATACCTCACTCTGGATCCAAAGGTCTTGGATGTCTACCTTCTGGGGGCTCTATGATATACATGATAGGCTCTCTGATCTGAGCCTCTCCATGGGGGAGCCTGAAGCAGTGGGATACCCTGGCCTCAGGCAAACCTCAGAGCAGGAAGACAGCCCTGTCCCCGGACTGTAAGTCTTACTTCAGAAGCCAAGGCTGAGTGACTGGGACTGGCCAGGCAGAAACCACCTGATCAAGCCCAATCCTTTACAATTGAGGAAACAGACTCAGAGAGGAGCAGGATCACACAGCCAATCCACAGAGTAGGCAGGGGGCCTGGACAGTCTTTGGATTACTGGCCAGGAGCATTTCTTACAATATATTGCACTTAAACAGTTCCGTTTGGGCGGAAACTCTGCTGTTCCCAAAGACACCAGACCTTTCCAGAATCCGGTCTAAGGCGGTCTTCCAGGATCTGATGTCAAGGATTATTCCTCAGGGAATAGCTGTTGGAAAAGGCAGGTGAGATATTGATTATGGCTGGGGTTGAGGGAGGGCAGTTTTGACCAGTGAGGGGATGGGGATGGAGCAAGAAAGGATGGGGGAAGGGGAGTGGAAATTTCTCAGAAAAACTAACCAAAGGTATGTTTTCATATTTTTACAACTGCCTGTATTTTCTAGTCCTCTGGTTAGTTTTTCATATTTGAAAGTGATCAAGTGTTTAATTGTGGCATTCTGTTTAGCGTGGTCCTGTTTCGACTGGGCCCATCTTAGAAAGATGTCTTGGAAGCTTTAATGAATCAAAGGCTCCCCCGCTCAGGAGCCACACTGCAGCCTGTGCGTGCGGGATGGGATGCTCACCTCTCTAAAGACAGAAGGCAGCAACTGAGGAGAGAGGCATCCAGAGAAAAACCAAGGCGCAGGAAAGCCCACTTTGGTCACATGCATGCTTAGTCCCAAAGGCCAGCTGTACTGCCCTCCCAGTGCCCTCAGCAGGTCTCCCTGAGGAGGCTGTGTCACCAAGGTGTTCGAGTCTCGGAGTCCAGGCTCACCAGGCCACAGCTTCTCAGAGACGTGGGTCCCAAGAGGGAACAGGAGGCTGCCTGAGGTCAGGGTAATGTTAGGACCAGCCTGACTGACCGACCCGTAAGGTGTTGAGAGAGATCAGTGTGAGGACTGCCGGTGGGGACCCCAATCCAGGTTGGTCAGTCACCAGGACCTGCCACCCAGAGAAAAGGTTAATAGATTTTAATGTGTGTATAGCACTTGAACCCCATTCTGGTACGATAATAAAAAAGTTCTCAGTCAAAGTTGGCTGTGGTCTATGGGGGAGAAGGGTAGGGTGGTGAGGCCTGAGAAGCCATTGGCTCCTGGATCATGCACCCAGCTGGAAGCCCTGCTTTGGGAGGGTTCAGTTCTTACCTGCCCTGCCTCTACCCAGCATAACCATCTGTGCCACTCCCAGGCACCGAGAACCCCAAGTTGATGGTTCTGAGCTATGGGGACAATTTCCGGCCTTCCCTTCTGGGCTCCCTGTGGTCTCCAGGGCTGAATGGAACCATGGCTCCCTCCTCCTGACTTGCCCTCTATTGAATTACCTATTGCTTACCTCCCAGTGGCACTAAACTAGACCTCAGAGGCCCCAAATGCTAGAACGTCAAGTCCTTCTGTGTATACACCTTGCCTGTCCCTCTTCCAGTGATGAACACACAGGGCCCTGAGGCCCAGAGTCGGAAAGCCAGCCCCTGCCCCCAGGCTGCAGAGCTGGTGAGCCACGGTGGGCTGGAGCTGGGCCAGGTCTGGGGCTCTCCTCCCAGCCTCCTCTGCTCTCCCCAGGTCCCCAGAGGCCACTCTGGAGATGCTGCCTCCCCCCACCTCTGTGGCCACCCCTCACCTGGTCTTTGTTTGCATCCTTTGCGATCTCTGTCTGGGGGTAATTCTCGCCAAGCCAAGCAGGGTCAGCCGCTAATGCACTTCAGATGTTCTCAGGCTGGAGGCAACCAGTCCTCAAACACAGCACTGATTGCGAAGCCTGGCCTGGCCTGGCCAGTGTGCTCTGGTGTGGTGAGGTGTGGTGTAGTGTGGTAGGGCTGGTGCTTCCCAACACAGGTAACTAAGTTCCTGCTGGGACACAGCAGGCGCCTCTGTTTAACCTCCAAAACCTCCCTAGAGCCGCTGTGCCTAGAAGATTGGGGGTGGGGGGGGGGGGGCTGGAGGCCCCTTGGTTTTTTCCTTTGAACCTTTCTGGACTCTGAGCTGGCATTTCCCCGGGGGTAGTTGGCTCTATGCACACTTTCGGATGTGACAAATGTCGCCATCCCTGTGGATCTACAACTATCATTCTTCTGTTTACAGAAAAAGAAACAGAGGTTTGGAGAGGTCAGACTGGGGTTCCAGCTCCCGGTGAGAGTCCACACAGCATCCTATGTAAATAGAGGTGTTTCAAAAGCCCAGGATGGTGTTTTGAGAAGGGTGAGGCCTGTCATTTCCAGGGTTCCAGACACTGAGGCTGGGTTTGCAGCTGACTCATGCCTCAGTCTTGACAAAGCAGTAGATCTGAGACTGGGGGGTCATCGGCTCCTCTCAGGTGAGGTAATGCTGCCTGCCTCATCACCTCAGCCATGCCCAGAATGTGCTCTAGGAGCTAGCCCCGCCCCCAGGGGGGGGGGGGGCTTTGTCAAGAGCTTGGCTCTAGAAGCTGCTGCTTCTTAGCCGTGCTAACCTGCCTTGCTCCTCTGCCTCTGTGCGCCTCCATCTCCTCAGTCTTTCCCACAAGGTCATTTGTGAAGTTCACTGAGCTAAATATTTGTAGAGGGCTAAAAGGATGCCTGGACCAGGCTCACACTCAGCCCATGTGTTAGCTACTATTATGCTTAACCTTGTGGAAACTGAGGCAGTGCAGTACTGGAGTCTCAACTTAGCTTCCAGCTGGACCCCTGGGGCAGGTTGTTGAAGTCTGGAGAACTGGGTCCCACTCCCAGCATTTCGGTATATGAGACTGGATTGGGACCTGAGAATATGCATTCCCAGCATATTTCTGGGTAATGCTGATGTCTGAGGACCTGCTGCTCTAGGGGACCTGGCTGTGGCTAACAGGGGGCACTTTGGAGTGTGAGTA